CTTATTACTAAACAGCGAGCTATATAGCTTTAACTAAACAGCCCAAAAAATTAAAGAAAAAGAACGAGAAAAATTAAAATGCTATCAAACACTTAAAACAAACTAAAATATGGTGAAAATAAGTCGAACCAGGACACAGCCTAAATATTTTCTATTTATTATGTTTTTTAAAATATTATAAATTTTAAACTCGCATGTAGTGTTGTTAAACGGCTCAATTTGAGCCGAATTTTAAAAACGGCTAACTCAATATTTCATCCAGAATACTATTTCGCAAGCCTGAAGATTTTGTTTGTAGAAGGAAGAGAGGTTTGGGCATCTATTAGCCAAATCTCGAGGCTTAGGCAATATTTTTTCTGGCTAATTGATAAGTTAGCCGTTTTTAAAAATCGGATCAAAACGATCCGTTTAACAACACTTCTCGCATATGACAGGAAAAATAAATTTTATAATAAGAATTTTTATAAAAAAATATTTATTTCTTATTAAGATATATTAATTACCATAGGAAGATTTCACTTATAGTTTTCACTATATTTTAAATATATATTAAGCTTTACAATTTAAGATCTGGATAAGTAAATTTAAGAAATTATGATTTTAATACAATTATGATTTTATTAGATTCAGGAAATGAAAACCTCACGTTTAACATTGGTATAAAAAAATAAAGATTTTAAATATATAGTTTAAATAATAATATAGAACAAGAAAAAAGCCCTACAAGTAAAGTTGTTTTTTTTATACTAAAGAAATTTTATATCTTACTAAATATTTGCTTTTAGAATAATAATAATAATTTTTTTAAATAAGAATTATGGATAATGTTAATTAATAAATATAGTTAAAAATTTAAAGAGGAATGACCCAGGTAAAGATTTTTTTTTTAAATTTTATACTTTAACGCATAAGGAGAAAATATTTCTTTTAGAGCTTTTTTTTTTAAAAAATAGAACCGCATGCGCTAAGCCACCGGCCTAACCTCGATCTAAAAAAGATGTGACTGGGCTGGGGGTTTGAAAAAAAAATGGATTTTGCAACTAAATTTAATTAATATTTTGAAAATTATATATCTTTTAAAATTAATAGAAGGCCTGAAATCGAAATCTTTAGGTATGGTATATATTTTTATAAAAAAAACGAATTATCCTTGCGTCCTAAATATATTTAAAATATCTTAAAATTTTAAAACTTTCGTAACTTTATAAAATTATAAAAGATGTCCAAAATCTTCCATTCATTTTTTTTTTAAAGTTTATTAAATTTTGAAATTGATAATTCCTACCATATTATTTTTATACTTCCCATTAAATTTAAATACTTCCTATTTTGATTAATAAAACTGCCCATTTCTTATTATAATTAGAAAAATATAAATTAATATTGCTTACTTTATTTTCCTAAAAATCTCACAAATTTATAAACTTTAAGCTACAATTTATAAAAAAAAATTTCATTTCTCGAACTTTAAAAATTTTTCTATTTTCCTTTAAAGTTACGAAAGTTTGCGAATTATATTTTTGATAATAATTATCGCAATTTGGGTAAAATTTATAATATAATATATATATTCATGAGAAAAGAATATATGGCGCTATTTTTAAAGGCATCCGATTAGGCGTGTAACCAGCGTCCTCCCCCCCCCCTTTAGCAAAATATTTTGGAAAAATATAAATAATTTTAATCTATTTACTATATACTCCTTGTGTATTAATATTTTTTATCCAACGAAATTAAGTATATTTTCTTACAATTTTTTAAACCTTAAACATTGTTTGATATAAAAAAATATTTAACCAAATAATAATCTATTTAATTTATCTCTACTAATAAATAACTATGACTTGGAAAAATTCCTAGAGTGAATGAATGTTCAGATATACAATGAGACAAAAGAATTATTTCTGATGTATTAATAATTTATTTTATTACACAAAAATTTCATGCTATATTATACAAAATTATAATATGGTTTTGGTTGAAGTCATGAGAATCGCGAAAATTATTATATTACAACTAAGAAAATTAAGAAATAATACAAGAATTTAACGAGATGTGTGATTGCTTAGACCAAAGTCAAATGATATGATTTTAAGATTCTCGACCCTGACTTGCACCTAGATAAATTAATTGTTACAATTAACGTGAACTCAATTGAGGATTACTATAAATTAACACTTAATAAATATATCTGAAAACCAAATAATTTCAGAATTTTAATCTTGGCATAAAAGAAAGTTGTAATAATCCTCTAAAAAATATTTTGAATCTTTTTCCAATATATTAAAATTAGTGTATAAGAAACAACACTAATTAAAGCACAAATGAGATGATCTTTTCTTCATCATGGAAAATAAAAACCTGGAGTAAAATCTTAAAATCGGAAAAGGACTAGTTTTCCTTAATATACATTGGATTTAATCTCCAATTTGAAAAATTAGCGCAATTGCAAAAAAGGTTAAATTTTTATTTATGAACTATATTTTGATTAACTTTTTAAATCATCATATAATATTTAATACTATATTTTATTTTGAAATACATACCGGTCTATATAGTTGTAATATTTTTAACCAATATTATATTCGTTCTTAAATATTTTTAATTTTTTAATATTTTATCATTAATGTTCCAAATTGTCCTTTTTCTAAATATAATTAGTTCTAATAAATTTTTATTTTTCAAAAAAAACATTTCAATATAAAAAAATTATCCCCCCCCCCCCGTATATAATTTATGGCTACACGCCTGAATCAAAACTATCCAGGATCATCGCGGGTTTTAAAGGGAGTTTTAACCCTGATAAATAGGAATCTTACTTTAAAACGTGTTTTACGCGGAAGCTAGGAATATTTTTATTAATACAAAATATGTATATTGATATCAAATAGAAGTTAATTAAAACATATTTTGATTAAAATAATATTATTTACTCCTAGTTTTTGGTATATATAAATTTTTTTTGATTGTGATAATAATTATCACTCTAAGGGGGCGGGTCTAATTGGGGGGGGGGAGTCAGGAATATTTTTATCAACGCAAAATATTGATATGGGTATCAAATAAAGGCTAATTAAAAAATATTTTGAATAAAATAATAGTAAGTCACATTTGGTTTTAGTAAGTTGGACTTGGCCTAGATTGGGGAGGGGGGGGGGGGTGTTAAGAAAATATCCCTCGGCTAAAGACTAAATATGGCTCGGCGAATTATATAACAATTTATTTATTAAAATATATCGTTCGGTTGAGTAGGATACCGCAGCGCAACCATTCTTTCCCCCATAACTTAATTAGTGAGGTTATAATGAAGCAATGAGATTGGCTTTAATTCAGTTACAAAAAAAAGTTATTTTGATTTTAATCTTAAAAGTATATACTACAATTTCAGTCAACCGATATTTCAATGATTTTTTATTTTATAATATCGATATTTTGTTGTGGTAAAAATATTTCAGACCCTCTCCCCCTTTCACTTAAGATTTAGACCCGCCCATAGCGTGATTATTATTAAAATCAAATCGATTACCTCTTATTTGATACCCATATCTAATTTTTATTTTTAACACCCCCCCCCCACCTTGAACCAAGGTCCAATCTATTAAGATCAAGAAATGCAAATGCTATTATTTTAGTCAAAAGAAACCTTGATTATCTTTTATTTGATATCCACATCTCTTATTTATGTTAGTAAAAATATTCCTGATCACCCAAGATCTATATCCGCCAACTTAGAGTGATAATTATCATAACAATCTAAAGATATTTTAATTACATTTTATTTGGTACCCATATTAAATTTATATCTTAATCCCCCCCCCTTCCCACCTTCTCATTCCCCAGACCAATTCCAACTCATTATAACTAAGAGTGAATTATTTAAGTCATAATATTTTAATTATCCTTTATTTGATACTAATATTCAATATTTTATGGTGTTGATAAAAATATTCTGGGCCTCCAAGGTCTAGAATCGCCAATTAATGGAAGGGAGGGGTTAATCTCCAATTGGACCTAGTTATTGATTCATCTCTATGTGACATATCTCATAAATCCAAAGAAAAACCTCTTTAAATATAAAACCACCGTTCGCTTTGCTGCGATTGCTCTCTCACTCTGTTTCCCAGAGAGCAAGACTCTTTACCTCATCACCTCAGAGGGCACAGTAATTGTATAAGAGATAAATATGGTTAAATGGAATGCATATTGAAATGTGTAGGGTAAAATAATTAAGAAACGCGAAATTATCCATAACACTATTTCAGATTTAAATTTAATTCATTTGTCGAAACATCTTAAATGAATTAAAATCATAATTGTGTATAAAACGGTTACTGTAGAAATAGCTAGCTATAGAGGAGTGATATAAGAGCCCTAATTGACATTGGGAAATATTAGATATATATGAATGTGTTGGCAATAATATTCATCTAAAAAAATTTAACAGGGGGCCGAGTGTCGTTAAACCTTTAACGGGTCAAGTCGGGCAAATATTTTAATAAAAACTAAAACACACCAAGCCAAGTTTACCTTGTCCGATGGTTAGAAAATTTTTTTAAAGATTTTTGAAAATGGCATAGCTCTAATATGTTTTCTTCATTATGTCTTTTAATTAAAGAAAATTTAAATTAAATTAAATATGGCTCCAAAAAATAATAATTAAATAAATAAAAAAATAGAAGATAAAAAAAATTATCGATAAAATTTGAATTTTTAAAGGTATCTTTTTAAATGCTGTGATGATCCTATAGTTTTAAACCACTCTTTTAAAAACTACGTCACATAATATACTATATAATGGATTAAATGTGTTTATCATATCTAGGTAATTTAGATGGCACCCTAGTAGTATCATTTGGTAATTATTAAAAAAACATTTTTTGATATTACTGTTATTAATTTAACATCTAACCGAATATATATTATTTTTTAGCATAAATTTAATTAATCAATTTTTTTTATACACACTATTTTTTTCAATCTAATTTAAGTATTTATAATCATCGTATATAAAATACATGGCTTATAATAATATTAAAAACAAATATAACATTTTTCTTTTAGGGAAAACTGAAATATTTAGGGAGCCAGGTACTATTATATTTTTATATGATTTTTAATTTTAATAATATTTTAGTCTCCTGGTATATAGCAATTAGTTCCTCTAAAGGTATAAAAAATATTTTTTCAGCCAATATTTGTTTGATTTTTTTTTAAAAAAAACTTTAGATTCTAAACCATACCTTATACAGCATAATGGTATATCAGTAATATATTTTATATTCGATTATGTATAATTTGCTTATTGCATAAAAAATATTCATGATACCATCATAGGTGTAGCTGGTAGATGGGGAGGAAAAATTCATCCTTCCTGTTCTCAGAAATATCTTTTTAAACAAATAAAAAACTTCTTCCTACACTCCCTCACCCCCTCTCCCCAAGAAATGTATACAATATATCACTATAAACAAGAATTTGAAAGAAAAATTATCAAAAGTTAATAATCTTTAAAATAACCACTATAATTCAAAATTATTAGAAAAAAGCATTTTTATATATAAAAAAAATGATAACCTAAAATTGTTTTTATAAAAATCGAATATAGCCATAGGCAATAAGTAGACCTAAAAAATAATATTCATGGAGGAAAAATCTACCTAAGGTTCTCGCCTCGCCTCCCTTCCCCTCCGCTCCCCCGCCCCCTTAGCAAAATACTAGCTACGTCTATGGATTCCATTTATAATATAGTATATAGTTATTAAATAATATTTTATTTACTGATAAACTTTAATAAATATATATATTATTGGCTAACGATTATTTTTTAAATAGGTCATGATTTGAAAGAAGGTATCCTAAAAAAAAACTCAAAAGCGAATCTTTATTTATTTAAAATTTACCCTATTGAATTTAGAATATTCACTTTATTGAGACACACTTTCTTTGTTTGGAACATGTACAAAGCCTTAATTTATAGTGCGCACAAATTGTATGTTGTTTCAATGCACCGTTTCAAAACGCAAATAATTACATTTTAAATGCATTCGTTTAAATTGGACAGCATTTTTTTTGTTTTAAATTTAGACGTTTCATATTAAAGGTTTTATTTAAACATAGCTGCGTTTACGTTTAATAATAATAAGATTAACATTAAATGCACAAAAATAAGAAATGCCATTTTAGGAAAAATAAAATCGACAGAAAATATAATATACAAAAATAAGGGATATATTTAAAATGAAAATTAAAAATAGGAATAAGTATATATTTCAAAAAAAAAATGTATTTTTAATATAATTAGCGATACTTTAAAACTATTTATATTTTTTATTAAAATATAAAATAGAAAATACTTTGACCACCTTACCATCCATTTTACCGTCAGAAGATCTAATTTCAGGATCTGGAAATGGCGAATCCAAATTTGTAACCACAAGTGTATCTGAAAATTACTCTCTACCAGGTTGATAATTTTATTTAAATGAAACTTCTTTTCAGGTGCCAATTTAAAAAATATGATTTTTTTTTTCTCTTAATTGACATATAAAAAAATCTAATAATTATATAAAGACAAAAGTCAAAAAGAATATATTTTTAAAAAAAACGCCTGTTAAAATTTTTTAAAAACGTATAAATTAAAAGGGAGAATTCTATGAATAATTGAGCCAAGAATTTTTAAACATGTTGGACCAAATTATTGTGATAGCAATGTTTTGTTAGGTCACTAAAAAGGCAATATATGTGTTTTTTTCCTTATGGATATTGAAACCGTTTTGAAAAGATTCAAATCGACTTGCCCAAAGGAGTAGGATATTGTGGCTACGATGAGGGCAAAGTGGTTATCACCCGTCAGGAAAAAATATTTTTGGCATTTTAATGAGTCAGCCCTGAGAAGAGAATCATATATATTATTAGAAGGGTCAAGGGAGTCTATGTATTGGTTTAAAAATGATATGCCTGGAGCAAACTAATTGCATAACGAAAAGAGTCGTCAAGATCCTGGGGTAGGAAAGGCTATTCATGGAGTGTTAAAATTAGCCGTCCTGTGGAGGGATTTGTATTGCTGATCATCACTCAAGTTTAGGTAAGCAAGGGAAAGAGATACCAATCCTAAATCCCAGCCTTTTTGCTTTGATGAATCTGGTTGAGTTGTATTTGTCAAGGTATTGATGTTCCATCAATTTAAGGCTTCGTCCATCAAACTCTCTTTATCAATTGAAATGATTTTGGATATGACGTGTTTTTTAGATTTTGTAAAAGATACGAAAGAAACAATGGCAATTGTTATAGACGATCTAAGTCCTAAGCCTCAAGATTTGCAAGGAAGAGTTGCCTGAAACTATGAGTTAGAATCGAATTTAACATTTAGTAACTCTTGTATCATTCTTAAAATGTTTTGTTCGTATTCTTTTCAAACGCGAAAGCCCAAGAGGTTTTAAAACAATATTTTTGAGGATAAAATAAGCTTGATAGATGGGTAATTTACTTAAAGCTGTTTGTGGTGAAATAAGATGTTCAATTTTAATATTCTATTCCGATTAATATGGCTGATCGGTATTAACTTTTAAATATTGATATTCTATTATTTGCATTTGTAACTCCACTTGCACCGGAGAACCAAACCTTTTCATTCTTATAAATTTATATGGCTTTTAAGTTTTCTAGATATCTACATAAAAAAATCTGATAATAAATTCAAATAGCGAGCCGTACGTGTAAAAGAAAATTTATATCGAAATAGATATTTTATCTCTAATTTTGTTGTCTCAAAATAACATTGAACTATAAATCAAGAAATGATAATATAAATTATCAGCTGATTTTGGATTTATAGATATACTTTAAAAGTTATCATTTATATGAAAAATGTATTCTAAAGGCATGAACCTTTATCATAATATAAAAATATTTTTGTAGTTTTTAAAAAAATCTAAGTTACTTACCTGTATTTAACAAGAACTTTAAACAAAATGTACATAAAATAAAATTAACGTCATACGTCATAATAAGCGTAATCGCCTCTAGATGAAATATTGGGTTAAGAAATTTGGGGGTAGCCTATGAAATGATTCCAACCACAATTGTTGGGCAGACAGCAGCTATCTGTGCGCGCAAGAGACAAAACCGCTTACTTAAACGGCTACGAGAAGAGAAAAAAAAAGTAAGTACTCTATTAAATAAAGTGTAAATTAAGAAGGGGTGGGGGGTTTGGTTGATTTTAAGTTTATGTTTTGTATGTTATAAGTTGATTTATTATATATGTTGGTTTATTGAATTAAATCTGTCAGGTGATGCTTAAGGGGGGGGGGGGGGGTTAATACGTTTAGATAATTCGATTTAATTTTTAATAATTTTTTGATTTTTATCATTGTTTAAGCGTATAGATTGATCCATTGTCAGGTGTAGGCATGTTTTGTATAGCCAGTAGGATTTATATTTTCCTTAATTTTTCCCTTTATGGGTCTGGAGCCAAGTTATTGCTTCGTGAACTATATTTTGTTTAAAGTTCATAATAGTATGGCCAAATAGTTGTGAACATCTTTTTTGAGTTATTTCGATTGAGAAGGTCATGAGTTGAGTAGGCTTGTGTTTAAAAAAAGTGTTTTCAATTTTTAGATTATTATCTAAGAATAGTCGAAGATGTTCCTTCCCTTCCCTTTGGTTACTGTGAGTTGCTATAATTTTTCTAACATTGTATATTGTTACATTACCCATTTTTTGAACTTGCCCATCATAAAGATGTTATATCTTTTTGGCAAAGAGCTTATTAATTTTCTAGTTGTTCTAATAAACTTTGCCGTCAGTTTTGGAGGAACATAGACATAAAGAAGGATTGTGAATTTATACGCTGTGTTTATGTATAAAATAGTAATTCTTTCTGTCATAGGGATAAATTTTCTGATTTATATCTAGTGTTTATTTTTGATTGACTACACCCATCCAGTTATATTCCTTGGTATCAGAGCTGTGGTAGATAAAATCTGAAAGTTGGGCAGATTAATTGTTATATGAATGGGTTTCCTACAACCTAATTATGTCAGTGGAGTCATTTAATAAAGGTGTCATGAGAATTGAGATATTATAATTAATGCCACTTATATTAAGCGTAGCTAAGAAAAGGGAACCCTGTAGCATGATTTTTGTAATTAAAGGAAAAAGTATTTGATATGTATACGAACGATTAGGAGAGTAGGGATGACAAAAAATACCGAAGTTATGTTATAAGTTGAATTTTTAATTTTAAATATGTAAAGTTAAGCCTAGTGAAGGAGATAAGAATCTGCTATGTTAAAGTTATTTTGCGATATTTGTTTGGAGAGTTGGTATATGTAATTTAATAGCTTTCATAGATTTACATATATTACAATATATTAGGACAAGGGGTGAAGCTACTTAAGATTATGTTTGAAATTAAATTATAATTTGAGATATGTCCGACTTGTTTTGTGTTAAATTATCTTTATTGAGAGGGATATATTTTGGTGCTAAATTTATCTCCAATCTAGAGTGTTTATTTTAGGATATAATTACACTGCTATTATGGAGCAGAAAAAAATATTCTGCAATTCTAGCGAGGTTAGTTGTTTAATTTGGTAAACATTTAAACAAAAATAGAAAATGAATGTAATTCTATGAAAAATAAAATTCACAAAAAAAGTTTAAAAAATATTTTACAAAATAATGGATTAAATTGAATGAAAAAATTAAGAAAAATATATATTACAAAAAAAATATATGTATTTTAATAAAATTAGCGATACTTATTAACTATATATTTTTTTTTTATTATAATATAAAAATAGATAATACCATTGAATCTGGAAATGGCGAATCCAAATTTTTAACTGAAGAAACAAGTGGTAATTTTTATATTAATAATTGAAATTATTTCAATTTTTTTATTGACAAATTTTATAAAAATAATCTAATAATTATAAGACAAAAGTCGAAAAGCAATATTTATTTTTGAAAAAAACACCTTTTTTTGAAGAAAAAAAATAAAAATTTTATTAGTTTCAGCGGCAATCTTCTTTTCAAGGATTTCTTATTTTTATAGGTAATAATGAGCGATTTAAAATATTCAGAGGCCCTGGTATGTTAAAAAAAAAACTATAGGTCCTTCCCGGGTACATTTAAAAAATTAAATTACTACCCATCCCGTGTACCCGGGCATGGCCTGCAGGTCACTGATATTCATGTATATTGAACAAAAATTTAAAAAAATTTCGACATTATAAATTTAAATTATTTATAAAATTTAATGATATGTATATTAATATTTTACATTTATATTATAATAATACATATTAATTATAATACTTTAATAAGTTAAGTATCAAGTGAATAGACTAAATAATAATATGAATTAATAATTATAAATTTACGGGGAAAATCAATTTATATTTAAAAAAAAATTATATTTAAGAATTGTGAACATAAAAAAGAAAAAAATAAGTGTACAAATCTGAAAAAGGGAAAAAAAGATAGGATTATAAACTATGAAGGAGGAGAGAAAAATCTAAATCATACCGCCTGCTCAGGAAATGAGCACATGAAGCATATAAAAGTATCTCTTATAATCTAGATTCTATGTGCTGACCTAAGTAAAACCTTCTTCTAAATCTCCTGATTTAATCCATATGGCTCTGCCAAGTTTTAGCCAAGCTAAGCGCTTGGCTTTCAAAGGATGTTAAAGTTGTAGTAATAACTGGTATGAATTTGTATTAATCTAGTTTGTACAGATATTTGTTATTCAAAGATGTCTTTATTAATGTTGGAAGGTGAGGAAGGTCAACACAGGAAAATCTCCCCGCTAGAAATCGGCCATTCTCCCAAGGAGTATAACCCCATCAATAGACCCTATAAAGTAGCAGTAAAGCCCATTTAATGAGAGCATTGCATTGATTTCAGATCGAACGTCCTGCTATAGATCATTGGAGGCAATAACGGCCATATAAGTTTACTGGTTTCTTGCACGACGCACTCATATGAGACTGAGGCTGTCATTAAACGTATGGCCACTGCAAAGAGGAATTCTTGGTTTGATAACTAGCTCGAGGTCAGGATTTCAGTGGGATTGGACTTCTAGCCGAAAATATATTTCAATATGTATAGAGTAACAGATAATATGTATTTTTGACTTACCAATCTTAATTTATATTAATTTTATGTAGATTTTTCATATCAATTTGAAAATAAAAAAATGTTTATGCTGAAAATAGTCGGAAATTTACAGAATAGACTCTCTATACATATTGGAATATTATTTCCCATCAAATATAAATTTTTTAAATTTAAAAATTACCCACAAGTTAATGAATTAGGTTTGATAATTAGATTCAAATAGGTAAATGTCCAAATTTTTATAACTTTCTATCTATGTTTTATTTAATTTGCAGTTTATTAAATTATAATATTCATTAATTCTGTCTTGTCTAATTTCATAAATTTAATGTTTGATAGGTAAATTTTAAAAATGATCCGAAAGATTTTAGCCAAAATAATACTATGTATGCCTAGAGATTTTGCTCATAGATGGCAGAGAGGTTGGTTTGATATTAGTCATAATACTAAATGGATGAAATTATAAAAGGTGTTATTTATGACCATTTCATATTAATTTCCAATTTGGCACTTTAATTTTATAATATAATAATAAACGTGAAATTTAAATGATGTTAGAATTCTTGAATTTTAATAATATTTGTGTATTAACTTTTTCCAATGTTTCACATTTATTAATTTTTTAGAAAAAATGTCATTATTATAAATATAATTTTTTTTATTTAATCCTGATAAATTTTATATAATCACAAAACAATATCAATACATTTCCATTTAAATCAGGAATGATTCCATCTCTATCAAATTTTCACGATAGTCATACATAAATCCAATTATAGGTTCATCGGAAGTCTCCTTCTCGAGGAGCTGATATAAATATCTCCTGGCAACAATAGTTCTTATTTTCATTTCTAAATATATATTAATAATTTCTTTAACCAAAATATAGATAACACTTAATCAACTATAATTTATTTTCTCAAAAACCTTATAATTCATAATCATAATAAAAAAACATACTTTTTTTTTAAAAAAAATATTCTATTTAGTTAGAAATTTCATGATTTGTAGGGAAAAAAAGTGTAAGCCACTTTTAATTCATTTTGCATGATATAAAAAAATATTAATTAATAAAATTATTTATTTTAAAGGGCCAAAGTTCACCTGTGAAACAGAAGGTATTCATTTTATTATAAATATGAAATATTACAATAAATTGAATATTTATTGATTCATAGACGGCGATATTATTAACACGATAACAGGTTAATCCATTAATAAGTACATTTTGAAAACTGTATGCATTGTATAAACATTATACATTCTACTTTTTTTAATTTAGAGATTCAATAATATAATTGTATCAAAACTTATGTCTACTTTTTATAATTATAGAAAATCTTATCAATGTTATACAGGGTAAATATTTTTGTGAGAATTCCTTAGAATAATTTTATAATTATTATAGATTACCTAACATATACTAACGTTTATATACAAAGTATGTTGTTTTACAATTTATAAGAATTTTATTTAATATTCACTATATTTAAAAAACATTTTAAGCTCCAAATTTGGTGATTGGAATAAGTAAATAACTGGAAAAAATAATTTTTATGCAATAATTTTAATTGAAAACATTAGGATTGGAAAATCAGACCTTAACTCTTAACCTAGGTACATTAAATTTATATAAATAATTGTATAACTTAATGATAATATAGAACAAGAAACAAAATTTAGAGGTAAAATTGTTTATTTTAGACCTTCCGAGTCAAATTTTATATCTATCCAATATATCCTTTAAAATATAAATTGTTATTAATCCTTTTGTAAAAAATCGATGTTCTCAACTAGCTTTAGAGTATGTACTAAATTATATTAAAGATGATAAAATATATCAAATAATTCGAATTATACAATTATTATAAATCTTTAATCGATATAAAGACATTTTCAATAAAAAACAAATTATGTTATAATTTGAATTAAAAAATAAATCTTTATTATCAATGTTATTTTAGATAGAAATATTAATATGTCAATCTTTTCTATTCAATTTTTTTACATATTGAGTAGTATTGAGTGAAAATCTGTAATATTATTCATTTTTAAACTTGAGATATATTTTAAATCAGATTTGCACACCATAGATAAATTTATTAATTGAGTCCCCTTTTTCAATAAAATTATTTTTTTCCATCTGACGCTACATTCTATTTTAAATAAATCTCATCGTATCATTTAATGGGCAAGAAGGGGGGGGGGGGTTGTCATCACAAATTCATCCATTCTTGTAAATATCAGAACTAATAAAAAATTCCTCCCTACACACCTCCTCCACTCCTCCAAAAATATATACAATACAATACTATAAAAAAAGAATTATAAGAAAAAAATAGTAAAAGTTAATAACCTATTAAAATAACAACTATTTAAAAAATAATACAACCAAAGGCCTACAATAAGTCGACCCTAAAAACTTCCAATAAAGTGTATAACGAGATATCTACGCCTACCCCCCCCCCCTCCATAGGAAAATCTTGGATATGCCTATGGGAGCAAGTATTACGCTGGGAAAGTAGTCCCCTGAATTTCCTCCATTTTTAGCAATTCCAGAATATTTAAATTTGGCAATATTTCAACCATCTTTTTCAACTGGTATTGGATGTTTGAATAGCTGTATATATAATTTTCATGAGAAACGCTCATATAGCCTCCCATCGACAATATAGTAACCTTTAAAACTCATAGCAGATTCATGATTTAAGAATCTAATAAAAATGTCAGGTATATAGATCTGTTGGTAACTCACCTGAGGAGACAAAGATGAAAATATAAAACCCAATTTTATAGAAATTTATAAAATTATTTTTTTCCCTATAGGTAGTACAAATAGAGTCCTAATGATTTTAAACAGATAAATAAGCCCAATTTATAATATATGCTATTAAGTTAGAAACAAACTGTATGTTATGAAACTTTATAAATTTTTTATTTTTAGTGAATTATATGTAAAAAAAACAAAAAGAATAAATTTTTTAGCCTATAATTTGTTAGAAAAACTTAAAAATGGTAAATTGAAATGGGTCAAGTAAAAATTTTATTTTATATTATATAAAAATTTTTAAATATAAAAAAAAATTTATAGCTAAAGGTATACGTTTAGTACCATTAAGATAGTCTTTGTTTTTCTTGAGCACAAATGCTGTAAACAATGTGTTATAAATAATTTTTTAAACATAAATATTTATTTTTATGTTGATAAGTTTTTTTTATCTACTTTTTAACTATGTAATACCCGCCTATTCCATTTTATATACTCTCTTAAAATTTTGCAGTTCCTTTTTATAAGTTCTTTTTTATAGGCAAATGTTATGAATTAGCATTTATTATTCTTTAATTTTTACATGTAGTATCAAAAAAAATATATGATGAATATAAAGGTATATATATATTTAAATCGTGTCATATATTGAAAATAAAATTATACAAAAATTTGTTGAAAATAGGAGACCCAATCGGTATATGTATATTGATTAAATAATATTTTTAATTTGTTGAAATCAAAAAAAAAAGTTATAGAAAAACTATTAGGTATGAATTTTTTTGAAATTTGTTTTTATAATCATAAAATCCTAATTCAAATTTATTATCTCATTGTCATTCAGCCAATATTACCTTTTTATTTGCTTAATTAAACAGAAAGATTATGGTTATAAAAATCGACCTATTTATAAGTTTTACTTCTAAAACGATTAATTTAAGAGAAATTTATTTTGTTTTCATAAAGTATAAATTCGACAAAATTCTCATTTTTATTGTATAAATTTTCCTAATTTATTTCAATATGAAAAAAATCTTGAAAAATAATTTTTCTAGAAGAAAATTCTTGAAAATAAAAATTGAATATAAAGAAAATTTTCAAAATCCTTTTTTTTTAAAAAAAATGATAATATTAAAACCATGGACTGATAGGTATCACGTGCTTATATCCTGTATATGTTTACCAGAACTAAATTAGGCTTAAATCTTTTATTCTTTTATTAAGCAAAAACAAACTTTTATAATTTTTATTAACCAAAACTAAAAATAAAAGAGAAAAAAGAAAATAATGAATTAAAAAAAAATGAATTAAATTATATATCAATATGCTTCCTTTTATAGAGAAATGACTCACAAACAAAATAATTATAAATTAAAAATACATTTTTTAAAAATTATAAATCCCAAAATCATGCTGAAGCATCTTAATTATTATTTAAAGTAAAACTATATAGAATAAAAATAACTCAAAAATTGCAATAAATAATGGCATAATCAAAAATCAACTTTTACAAATCTAAAAATATAATGTTAACGCGATAAAAATACATTAAATAAAAATATCTCACAAAATGCAATCATAATGACTTTACCAAAAAAATTCATCTTTACGGATAATATTTCCATTCACTTACTTCCCCCATTTAACCAATCCTTGAGACCCCAAACGTCTTTTACATCTCTGGGAATTCTTATTTTCCCATACTTCGCCAAGTTGTTGTTGTCAGTGAGCATCCTCGACCATCGTTTGTTCCAACATATTTCCATAATTACCATTCCTCCATCGTCTTCTTCTATGAGTAAGAACTTAAATAATTACCTTAATTTTTATTTATTTTATTGTAAAAATTTCCTGACTCCCAGTGGAAATCCCTTCCCATGCTGAAATGACTCCACCATCTCCAGTGACACACGTTCCAAATCCTCATCCACCTCCAAAACTCCACTATTTCCGCGACACATGCTGGAAATCATCCCCACTGGACATATTCCACCATCTCTGACAATCCTCATTACCACGCTGTAAATTCCATATATAGTAAAATACTCCTTCTAACCCCTGAAACACAGTCGCCATCGTTTACTGAAATATCTGTGTAGACACACTCAAATCAAACGGCAACCTCCGGAAAGCGAACAACCCCTTTGGCGTAGTTATGGTCAACAATCTCTGTATCTCCTTCCTCACTCGTAATTGCAAATATGCATTCGAAAAATCCACTTTCGAAAAATATTTGCCCCCTTTCAAAATGGCCAATATTTCTTATATCCTGGGTACAACGTTACCCGGAAATCCGCACACAGCCGCAACTTTTCATTGGTCTTCTTCACACAACAAAGCCGTCGTCCACTCGCTATACTCAACCGGGCTCATTATGCCCTCCTTCACCCAACGCTCCAACTCCTCTTTTACCTCCGTCCTCCACTCAAAAGGAACTCGACGCACAGCACAATATTTCAACACACATCCATCTTTCAACCGAATAACCACCTCATAATCCTTCAAACAACCCAGTTCTTCACTAAAAATTTTATCATACTCCTTGGTCAATCCCTCTACTCCCTTTTGCACACATTCCAACTCCCCCACAGACTCTTCTGTTCTCCTCATTTCTCTTCCTTGTCCTTGTAACTTTTCACACTGTAATTCTCCATATCTACACTTCGAACTTGTGGTCCCACTACTTCCTTTTTCCCTATCAATCTTCCTTTTTCCGTTTTTTCCAATATTTGACTTTCTCTCAGACACGATCTTTCATTGTAAATCCTTTACTTTCTCCCTAAAATACGGATTCTTCCTCATTCACCTCTATACTCTCCCGGCCCTCCATCCTTTCATTCTCCTGGAAATTTCCCCATCCTCTTTGGATATCTTTATAATGTCCTTTCTGATGTCTTCTTTGAAGGCCAAAAATATTCCCTATGGTGTAAATACTCTCCAAAAATAATATTCTGGCCCTACACTTGTAATCCAGCCCGCCCCCCCCCCATTATCGGTTTTACTCTCCAATCAATTATCCACAAATCTAACACTTTGCATCCTTCACTCCCTACATCACCTATCTGCACTCTTCCCATCATCTCCATTTCAGATCTATCAAACTGTTTCACTCGAATTTTCTCCCTAATTATTGCACTATTCGGTCAGAGTCTCCTAAAATCTTCATATCCCATTATCGAATTTGCCACTTTCCGTTACCTAGAATTTGTTAAGAGATTTGTTTGTAATCATATTTTTTTAGTCTCGCGACCTTGGGACCATTACACTCATATAGTCATTTTTGAGCCCAATTTATGAGTACATCGCCGCTAACTTTTCTACATTTATCTCATCTTTTATCAAGTGTAATAGTTTTTATATTTTCAACGGTCAGGTAAATAAGTGCAAAAGCTTACTAAAAGGAAAGCCATGTCGAAAATTGTGTTCTTCTACAAAACACTAGTTCTCCGTGTGGCCTCTTTTTGTTATTATTGTTTTTATTATTCATGATTTTATGTAAATCATATGATATACCCTTTATTATATTTTTAAATACATTATCTATAAGAGAATGTTTTTTGTTTCGCATTTACTCAATGAAATGGGTATTTCAGTTAGAATAATATATAACGTCTAAAAATGACGATTCCAAATCAGATTCAAATAATCAGTTATATTATTTGATACACTCATTGAAAATATAAGCCATTCTAGTGACTAACGCAACACTTTAGGGCCCATTATTTTATTTGCATCTTGTTTTCTATCACCTATTTGCCTAACAAAAAATATATAAAAAATGATCGTTAATGTTATATATTTAAAATATATAACAATATATATTTCGTCACACATTACACTATTTTTTCCTATTTCAAGCGATCTTTCCATGTTATATATTTAAAATATATTACATTAACGATCATTTTAAGCTCGCATTTAAAATTTAGGGCCAAATTCAAATTTCAATACTCTAAAAAAACGTTATTATTACGATTTTT